TTTATCCTTTCTCCTCTTTTTTTTTTCACCTTTCCCCTTTTTCTTCACCCTTTTACCTTCTTTCTTCACCTCTCTCTCCTTTTTATTCTCTTTTCTTCCTCTTCTTTGCCCTTTATCCCGCTTTCTCATCTATCTCTCCTCTTTATTCTCTTTTCTCCTCTCTTTCTTTAGTATTTTCCCTTCCCTCTTCACCCCTCATATAATTCATCTCTTTCTTCACAGTTTTCCCTCTTTCTCATCTATCTATCTCTTTCCTTTCACCTATCTCTCTTCTCGTCTCACTCTTCTCTCCCTTTGCCCTATTCCCCCTTCCGCTGTCTCTTCATCCTCCTCTCTCTCCCCATTGCATTTTCCTTCTCCCTTTGCGTTAATTTTTTTTTTCTGTTCTGTCTCTCCCTCATTATTATTTTGCTCTTGTCACTCTTCGTCTCCCTCTCCCTGGTCCTCTCTCCCTCTCTCTCTGTTTTCTCTTTTCTTTCTGTGTCTCCCTTTTCCTTATTTTTCGTTTCTGTTCTTAGTTTTTTAGTTTTTCTTTCCTCTTCCTATCCTTTCCCTTTTCTCTTGTTTAAACCTCTTATAGAATCTTCATTGCTTCCTTACTTTATCTCTACATTCTCACATCTCACTAATCTTTCATTATCCTATTTTATTCCTACTCCTACGTTCCCACTTTTTCTGTCTTTCCTTTTTTTCACATTCTTATTTTTCCCCTCTATCCCCTCCTTTTTCTATCCTTCATTCCTTCTAAATCCACCTCCCTCCCCTACTTCTCTCTCTCTCCTCTCTCTCTCTCTTCTCTCTCTCTCTCTCTCTCTCTCTCTCTCTCTCTCTCTCTCTCTCCCCCATTTTCCACTCCCCTCTCAGCTTTTCCAATTTTCACTTTATTCCCTCCTCCAGCTTTCCTTTCACTCTTCTTCTCTTGTTTTTCACTCTCATCTCTCCTTCCTTTCTCCCACTTCACTCCTCCTTACCTCCCATCTTTTTCTTTTCCTTCGCTTCACTCCTTTATCCCCAATTCCACCTCTATCCTTAATTTTTCTGTCCCTCACTTCACTACTTACTTGCCCTATCCCTCTCCCTCCTCCTCTATCCCCATTTCCCTTTCTATCTCCCTCTCTCTCTCCCTCCTCCCCTATCCCCGTCTCCCTTTCTATCTCACTCTCTCCCTCTCCTCACCCCCTTCCCCATTTTCCTTTCTATCTCCCTCTCTCTCTCACCCCTACCTCCCCACCCCCTTTTCCCTTTCTATCTCCCTCTCTCTCTCTCCTTCACCCCACCCCCCTATCACCCCCCCTCCTCCCCCATCCCCTTTCCCTTTCTATCTCCCTCTCTCCTTCACCCCCACCCCCCCTCATCACCCTTTTCCTTTCTATCTCCCTCCCCCTCTTTCCCTCCCTCCCTTCACCCCACCTCCCTCATCACCCCCTCCCTCCCCCCATCCCCTTTCCCTTTCCATCTCCCTCTCCCTCTCTCCTTCCCCTACCTCCCTCATCACCCCCTCCCTCCTCCCCCATCACCCTTTCCCTCTCTATCTCCCTATCATCTCTCCTTCACCCTCACCCCCTCATCACCCCTCCCTCCTCCCCACTCCCTTTCCCTTTCTATCTCCCTCTCCCTCTCTCCTTCACCCCCACCTCTCACCCCCCTTTCCCTTTCTATTTCCCTCTCCCTTCTCTCCTTCACCCCCACCTCCCTCATCACCCCCTCCTCCCCCACCCCCCTTCTTACCCGGCTTATAACGCGATTGGTAAACCATCTGGAGGCCTCGGAACAGTGCCATTAAGGGCCATTTGGAGAGTGCCAGATAGCCCGCCCACGATCACGCCGAGGAGCCTGATGTGGCACTGTTGCTACCGACCGCAGCCCATAATCTATCGCATGCAGCCTGCTTGCTTTCAGGCTACATCATGCAGTCTACCGCCCCCAAGCCTACGTTTCGCAGACTAACTTCCATAGCCTGCAATGCACGGCCTGTAATGTAGGGCCTGCAAATATAGCCTGCAATACATAGCCTGCAATTCATAGCCAGCAATGCACGGCCTGCGATACATAGCCTGCAATTTACGGCTTGCAGTACACAGCCTACAGTACACAGCCTGCAATACATAGCCTGCAGCACACGGTTTGCAATACACAGCCTGCAATTTACGGCCTGCAATACATAGCCTGCAATGCACAGACTACAATTCACAGCCTGTAATACACAGTCTGCAATACACGGCGTGCAATATGCAACCTGCAATACACAGCCTACAATACGCAGACTGCAATTCATATACACGGCCTACAGCCCACGGATCGCAACTTTCAGCCTCCCTCATTATCACCATCATTATCACTATCACTATCACCATCATCATTATCATTATCACTATCACTACTATTAGTATTACTCTTCTTATCATCATTATCATTATTGTTACAATTACACATCAGCATCATGCTTATTCCAGTGTTGATTCATCTATTGTAATAATTTCGATAATAGGCGCTTATATCATTGTTATCACTTCTATCACTATCTTCATCACCATTACCCTTATCACATACTCAAAATGATAACAATAATAACAATGACAGTCACTTTTACCGTGAGAGGAATGACTGCCAACAAAAATAATAACGATTGTTATCTCTGTTATCACTCCATTTTGCTGTAGTATCGTTGCTAATTTATCACCTTGGTTCGTTTAATCATTATCATCATCATCATCATTATCGAGATTAATAAACTAATAGTCTCATTTTTAAAATTGATAGTCCCATTTTTTCGCACAGTTCCCATAGTTATTTCCATCATTTAGCCATTGGTGACGTCACGAATGGAGTCATTAGTGACGTCACGTGACATCACATTAGTGACGTCACGTCAAACATTAGTGACGTCACGAATGGATTCATTAGTGACGTCACGAACATCAAACATGAGTGACATCAGTCATTAGTGACGTCACGTGACGTCATGAACGGAGTCATTAGTGACGTCACGAACATCAAACATTAGTGACGTCACGAGAGGAATCATTACTGACGTCACGAATGGAGTCATTAGTGACGTCACGAACATCAAGCATAAGTGACGTCACGAATTCATTACTGACGTCACGAGACATGAGTGCGAATGACGTCACGAATGGATTCATTAGTGACGTCACGATGAAGTCATTATAGCACATTGCGTTTCATTCGTTCGGCAATGACGTTATTACACCTCTAATGATTATTACGAAGATTTGACAACGAATTTACGTTCCAATGGCTGATATTTGCGTTGTAATTATTCGTAATGAGTCATCACAACCGATTGCGAAAAAGGGGGAAAGATAATGGAATCGATAAAAGGAACTGAGGGAGGATGGTGATGATGTGTGAGGGAGGTGGTGATGGTAGTGGTGGTGGTGAGGGTAGTGGTGGTGGTGGTGGTGAGGGTGAGGGTGAGGGTGAGGGTGATGATGATGATGATGAAGGAGGAGGATAATGATGGTGGTGATGATTACTGATAACAATGATGATAATATCGATAGAAATAAAGAAACGTAGTAGCAATAGTAGTAATAGTAATAATAATATTGATAATAATAAAAGGGGAAAGGAAGAGAGAGAGAAAGAGAGAGAGACAGACAAACAGAGACAGAGACAGAAACAAACAGACAAAAAAAGAGACAGAGCCAGAGACCCAAACAGAACGAAGAAAGAGAAAAACAAACAAACAAACCCCACCACCCCCACCCACCCCACCCCCACCTCACCCCCACCCCCCCCCCGCCCACAAAAAAAAATCGTGACACCCCTCCAATCTGAGCTGCTCGCCCCCTCCAGCCGCCTCTCTCCCTCACGCGAGCCAATGTTATCTTCCGTCGGTGTGGATGTTATTACCGGGCCTAATGTCCACAATAACAGCATTTATGAGGCTGTTCTGCTGCCGTGCTCAGCTGCGTTCGGATGCTGTGGAGGGGGGAGGTGGGAGGGAGGGGGAAAGGTGGGAGGGGGAAAGGGGAAGGGGGGAAAGGTGGGAAGGGGAAGGGGTGAGGGAGGGAAGGGGGAGGGGGGAAAGGTGGGAGGGGAAGGAGGGAAGGGTGAGAGGAAAAGGGAGAGGGATAGGGGAAGGATAGGGAATGGGAGAGAGAGGAGGGAGAGGGAAGGGGGAAATTGGGAGGGACGAGGGAGAGGGAGGAGATGTGGGAGGGAAGGGGAGAGGGAGGGGGATAGGTGCGAGGGAGAAGGGTAAGGGAGGGAGGAAGAGGGAAGGTGAGAGGAGGGGGAAGAAGGAAGGAGACGGATGGGGGAAGGTGAGAGGGAGAATGAGAGTGAGAATGGGCGAAGGAGAGGGAGAGTGAGAATGAGAATGGGAGAGGGAGAGGGAGAGCATGCGGGAGAAATATGACATAGGAAAAGGAGACATAGGAGAGGGAGAAATGGCTAGGAAATGGGAGAGGGAGAAAGAGAGAGGGGAGTGATGGAAGAGAGGAATAGAAAGTAGGGGGGAGAGAGAGGAATGGGAAAGATGGGTGAGTAATGAGAAAGAGAGAACGAAAGAAAAGGGGAAGAAGAGAGAAGAAGAAGGGAAAGGGAGAGAGGGAAAAGAAGGAAATCAAAAGGATGAGGATAATGACGATGATAGCAATGATAACGATGATGATAATAATGACAACAATAATAACGATAACAATATAATAAAAATCATAATGATGCTGATTATGACAAGGATCACAATGATAATAATTCTAATGAGTGAAAGACCGGAACAGGGAATAGGAAAGAGACGAAGAGAGGGGGAAAAAAAAGCGAGATACAAAAGAAATGACAATGATGCTGATAATAAAAAGATTTTTTATTAATTTTATTTTTTTCTAGAAGACCTTCTTTGTGAATGGGATTTTGAATGGTTATTGTCTGAGAGAGGTCGATGCTGGTTCCCTCTTCTCCTAACCATACACGCAAGGAGGGAGGGAGGGAGGGAGGGAGGGAGGGAGGGAGGGAGAGGGGGAGGGAGGGAGGGAGGGAAGGGGAGGGAGGGAGGGAGGGAGAGGGAGGAGAGAGAAGAGAGGGAGGGAGGGAGATAGGAGGAGAGAGGGATGGGAGGGGAAGGAGTGAGGGAGGGAGGAGAGGGGAGAGAGGGAGGAGGGGGGGGGAGGGAGGGAAGGGAGGGAGAAGGTGGGGGTAGGTAGGAGGGAGCGAGGGAGGAAAAGGGGAGGGTGAGGAGAGGGAGGGAGAAAGGGGGAAGGGAGGAGGAGGGAGGGGAGGGGGGAAAGAAGGAGAAGAGAGGGGGAAGGGTGGGGGGGGAAGAGGGAGAAGGAGAAAGGAAGGGGGGAGGGGATAGGAGTAGGGAGGAAGGGAAAGAGGAGAAGGGAGGGGGATGGAGGGGGGGATAGGAGGAGGGAGAGAGAGAGAAGGGGGGAAAGGGGGAGGGGGAAGAGGGGCGAGAAGAGGAAGGAGGGAGAGAGAGAGAAGGCAAGAACAGGGGGGGGTGGGAGGGAGGGGGAGATGTGAGGGGAGGGAAGGGAGAAAGGAAAGTAGGGGGATAGGTTGAGGGAGGGAAGGAAGGGAGAGAGGAGGCGAGGCCTGGGAGGGAGGGTTAAATTGGAGGGGAGAGGATAGGAGAGAGGAGGTGAGGT